TAAGGAAGTTTTTTATTAAAGAAATACATGAAAATGTTTAAATAAAATCAAATTGTCCCAAGTCTTGTGAAAACAACTGTTGTGAAAACAACAGTCTCCTGCTCTGTCTCTCCCCAACCTCAATAGTTCTTTTCAGAGGCAAGCGTTTTCCATTCTCTTAGCTTTTCCTTCTGGTAGTTACCTTCATGTTTTCTGTTTTTTAAGTTTTTCAAATGAATGTAAGTATTAATACGTGTATTTTTTTTAGCCTCTTAAAGCTTATAAAAAACCATAGCAGTCGCCTGCTCTACTCCTCCCAATTCTTCCAGAGCGATGACTTTTAACTTTTAGCAATTTCTTCTGTTTTTTCTCAAATAATTATTTTGTCATTTCTTGATTTGTCACTTTACACATTATCTAGTGATTTTCTGATATGACAGATGAGGATTTAGCTCTTACACCACCATCGCCACTTTTCCTCCCATATTGTCCCCAGATAGTTGTCACATTTAGGGGTGTCTTAGTCCATTCAGGTTGCTATGACAAACCATCATAAACTGGGTGTCTTTGAAACAGCAAACATTTCTCACAGTTCTGGAGGCTGGAAGTCCAAGATCACGGCAGATCACTGGCAGACTCAGTGTCTGGTGAGGGCCTGCTTCCTCACTGATGGCTGTCTTCTCACTATAACCTTGAATAAGGAAGGCCAAGGGAGCTCTCTGGGGCCCCTTATAAGGGCACTAATTCCCATTCGTGAGGGCTCCACCCTCATGACCTAAGCACCTATCAATGGCCCCACCTCCAATTACCCTCACATGAGGCATTAGGATTTCAACAGATGAACATTGGGGCGATACAAACATTCAGACCATAGCAGGGTTAAGCAGTCATCACATTTTTATGACTTTATGTACATATATCTCATTGTTGAGAAAAACAGCACATTATGCTTTTACTTCCTTTCTTCTACAACCATTTTTTGTCTTTTTCCTGTAATTAATGATTGTCTAAACCACTCTTTTTTTACATTTGCTGTATCTTCAATGAATTTACCTCTTTCCAAATGCTCCAGATCTGTCAACAACCAATTTATATTTTTATTGTTTGCTTTCTAAGTCAGCTACATAGCTGGAATATTGCCTTTGTTAGATCCTATTTCCTGGATGCTGTCATCCTTTCTTGATTTACTTCTTCATTTTGCTGGAGCATTTCCTCCAGTAGCTTTCCAGGAAAGGGTACATGGACATCACAGTGAGTCTTTGTCTAAAAATGTCTTTATTTTACCCTCACCCCTAATTATTTGGGTGAGTATAGAGTTATTTGAAAATAACGTTTCAGAATTTCAAAGGCATGGTTCTATTGTTTTCAGTTTCTTTTTATTTTATTCCCTCTCCTTCCTTCCTTCAAGGCATCTCAAATTCAGTAGGTCCAGACTGAAATCAAACTCCATCGGAAAATCCTGTTACCTCCAACTTTGAAATATACCCTGAATCACAATTTTTTCACTACACCCAACCCTCTGGTCTAAATTACCATCATCCCTGAACTTCTAATTGGTCTTCCTGCTTCTGTATTTTTTAAAGTTGTAAAATATTTCAAACAAATCACATGTGGCTTTATACTTTTTACTACATAAAAACGTACGAAGATCTTACATACATAAACATATGGAATTGCTTTAAGTGTTTAGCATTCACTCACCTGTGCATGCTGACAGCTTCTTGCTGCAAACTCCTGGGACTCTCCATCTAGTAGCTGGAGTGTGTTCAGCCCACACACAGGGAACACCCTGGGAACACCCCTCAACCAATGACGAATGGGGGATAAATACTCCAGCTTCCTTCCCCTCCACTTCCCAGATATCTCCGCAGTGTTGGGCTTGTTACAAAATGGGAACCTGCTCACTGACCTTGAACTGACTTTCTTACCTTTCCTGTTTCACTTTTCCACACACTAATTGGTGCTTTCTGGTTATCACCTACCAAATAAACTGCTTTCACTTAAATTTTAGTCTCGGGATCTGCTTTGGGGGAAACCCAATCTAAGACAGTAATGTATTTGTTTCCTATCAATAAGCTTCCAGGTTGTTTTCAGTTTTTCACTACAAACAAGGCTGTAATATTTTTCTACAAACCTCTGGATATGTGTGTAGAAGGATTTCTCTTGGTATTTATCCATGAGTGGAACTGCTGGGTTGAAGGGTATGTGCACCTTCATCCTTAATAAATACTGCTAACATTTTAAAAGTCTGACAATGTCAGTATTGGCAAGAATGCCACATCTGATGCATGTGGAATGGTTCCTCACTGCAGTTTTTTGGTGAAGATTAGCCCTGAGCTAACATCTGTTGCCAATACCCCTCTTTTTGCTGAAGAAGATTGGCCCTGAGCTAACATCCATACCCATCTTCCTCTACTTTATATGTGGGACACCTGCCACAGCATGGCTTGATGAGCAGTGTGTAGGTCCACGACCCGGATCCAAATCTGCGAACCCTGGGCTGCTGAAGCAGAGTGCATGAACTTAACCACTATGCCACCAGGCCAGACCCTCCTCACTGTAGTTTTAATTTGCATTTCCCCAATTACTAGTGGGAATGTATTATCTTTGCGTGTATTTTTTGCCATGTGAGTTTCCTTTTCTCTAAATGGCTTGCTTCTTTTCCTTATCAATATCTGAGTTCCATAAATTTAGGATACTAACAGTTTTCTGGTTATGTTCCTTGCAGAGAGCACCATTGTTTTCTCGCGGTTTGTAAGTCTTATGCAGTGTTGATTCCTATTCTTCTGTGTAATGTCTTTTCCCCCTCTATGGAAGATTTTAGGAAATTCCTTTTTACTCATGTGCACGAAAATAAGCACATAGTTTCAAAAAATCTAATCACAATAGACATACTAATGCAGAAAATAACACTCAACTCTGACACTAACAACCGTTTGCAGCATACTTTTTCTTATACATATTAATATTTATTAAAAATTTTGAGTATTATACACAATTTGCTTCTTTCACTTAGCATTTTAGGTATTCTTCCATCAGCACTTCATTCTTTTTAACTACTGCAGAACATTAAATTTTATAGACATTGATTAGTTATTTCTTTATTGATTGACATGTGGGCTATTACCAAGTTTTAAAAAACATGGTTCAACAAATATTCTCAAGTCCATCTCTTTGTTCAGAATTAATTTCTAGAAGCGGAAGTTCTGCGTCCAAACTGAGAA